TATGGTCACTAGGCTCCATGCGCTTGAGCAGAGCATGAGGCAATGGGAGCCGGAGGCAGAAGACAGCTATTCTTACTGTGGTGGACAAGAGAAAGAGAGGAAGGGGAAGGGGCTAGAAACAAAAGGCCTGCACCAGCAGGGTCCAACCTTTGAAAGTTTTCAGAACCTCTCAAAGCTATGTCTTCAGATGGGAAGCAGATATTCAAAAATACAAGCCTGGGAGGGACATTTCAGATGGAAACCAAAACCATTATTTAGAGATCCCCCCCCCCCCAAAAAAAAAACCCACAAGATTTTGGCTGTGTTTCCCAGGATAATCTCAAACTCTGTGCTCAACTGACCTTCCTACCCCCGCCTCCCTATTAGCTGAGGTCAATGAATGGATGCCACTGCACCAGATTTCCTCTTCAGTAAGCCAATGCTGAGTAGTTAAGTGTTCTACAGTCCTGCTATTAGCAAAACGTGGCCCTTGGACTGTCAATATCAGCATTACTCATGAGCCTGAATAAAGGCAGGCTCTCAACTGCCCTCCCTGGGACCTAACTTATAAAATAAATTCTACAAAGTTCTCAGGTAGTTCTGCATGTGTTACTGTGAGCAATAGCATTTACAATTACTTACTGTTAGTGGTATATGTAAATAGGTAACTAAACAGCCAGGTTTATGGTCTGCAGTAGCCAGGTACGATTTAAGGCTTTTTAATTGTCCAACTGTTCTTTCAACTGTAAGTACTTCTTTTTTTCTTTAGAATTATCTTTATTAAATCATAAATGTATAACAGTTTAACTCCACATACACACTTCAATTTTTAAAGAAAAAACATTACATATTATTACACCATGATCCTGGCTAGTTTCAAAAGTTTGAAGAAAAAAATCATTTAAAAGGTTTTACACACAGCTCATGCACACAATCCTTCCCACACGGTAAGGTAATGTTATCAAATCATTCAGTCTATTCACAGACTGGCTCTCTGCAGCTGCTTTGACGTCTTTGGCTCTAACACTCCCCATTTGGGCATGACTGAGATAAGAGTCCTTTGACACTGTTATTTTGATAACCTGGAGCTGTTCAGTTGCTCTGGGCTCTCATCCTCTCCATTTTATACCCTGAAGGCCATGGCAAGTGGGAGGAAATTGGCATTGACCCCTCCCACCGTAACCCCTACTTCCTCCACTGCCCCCAGGACCACAGCTTCCTGCACAATGTTGCTCCTCCATGTTCCTGCCACCACCCAAGTTTCTGCTCTTCATTACACTGTAGGTAAAAGAGTGCTGATTATAACTTCCAAAGTCATTATATTTTCTAATTTGTCACCTCCTCTTCCACACAGTTCCAGGTTATCACCTCCATTGCCCCACTCCTGGTTGTTATACCCAGGCTTCCACCACCACCACCACCACCACCACCACCACCACCACCACCACCACCACCACCACCACCACGTTCTCCTCTTCCTCCTCCATAATCAGGGGTACCTCCAAAGTGGCCACCTCCAACCCCGCCCCCCATCCTACCCATGGTAGCCATTGCCAAATCCATGTCCACTTCCATATCCATCACCCCTCCCCCAATAAAGTTGTTCTCTGGTCCTGGTCCAAAATTTCCACCACCACCTTGAGATTCCCCCAAACCAAAGTTCTCTCCTCTTCCACTCCTGGCTCTTTGGACATCTACATCTCTTGCCTTTCTAACTTCTGCACTGTGACCATTGACAGTGTGATATTTTTTGTGATAGTTTTTTTTTCTCATGACATCATGGTCCTCAAAAGTAAGAAAGCCAAAGCCTCTTTCTTCCCAGAGTGCCTGTCAGTAATTTTTAAAATATTGTTATTTCAATACTATCGATTTTCCACATTCTTCAAAGAAATCTCTAGTGATGTCCTTAGCATCTTCTCTAACCCCACAAACAGCTTTTTCATAGTCATATGGGCACTAAGCTTTCAAGATTCCTTTCTGGTGATCTTCTGGCTCGGCAGCTCTTCCATCAGTGGAAAGAGGCCTTGCACCCAAGTCAGCATCGGCCTCAGCCGTGGGTGAGAGCATTTCCCAAACCAAATCCTCTTGACCATTTGTTTGCAGAGTCCTTCATAACCGCTGTCTATGTGCTTTTCCCATTGCGTGCACTAGTTTCTCAGACTTGCTTCTGCGATTTCAATGCATAAGCCCCTAACAAAGAGTCTATTCCTTTTCTCCTTTTCTTCTCCGCAGGAACAGTTTCTGAAGTGTCTCCCATCGTGGACTCAGTCTCTTCAGCTGCATTTCCCACAGCCTGGGTGAAAGAAGAACTCTGCTTACTGACTCTGCCCTGTGCGGCCTCCTCCTGAACGCACACAGCTGGAAGCTCGCGCACACAGGGCTCCCTGCCTCTGCTGTCGCCACAGGCTGGCCTGCCAGCTTCCCGATGGGTTCCCTGTCTTCTACCATCCACTTTGCCATAGGAATGTTGGAGTTGCAGATGTGAGCCATGGCACCCAGCCTTTGTAGGTTCCAGAGATTGAGCCCACGCAAGGTTTGCACCTGCTAGGCCATCTCACTGGCCCAGCAGTGATTTTTTTCAGTATAGTGACAACAGGGTTGAATGCTCTGGCCCTTTACCTGCATCAAGGCAGTGGGGTTCACTGGTACATGCCTGTATTCCAAGGTACCCTGGAGATGGATCTCTGGAGCCCAAGCAACACTACAAGACCCGATCTCAAAACCAAATGTAGAATGACTTCAATGCGAGCCATAAACTGCCTTACTTTGCCTCTCCCAGATTCTGTGCTAAGGATTCATGAGTGGAATCCAAACATCTAAGATCAAGCCAGGCGTGGTGGCCTGAGCCTGGAATTCTAGCACTCAGGGGACTGAGGCAGGAAGCTAACAAGTTCAGGGCCAGCCTGGGCTATATAGTGAGTTCCATGCTAGCTTTGAGTTCCATAGTAAGATCAGGTCTCAAAGACTGAGATATATATATATATATATATATATATATATATATAGAGAGAGAGAGAGAGAGAGAGAGAGAGAGAGAGAATATATATATATAGAGAGAGAAAGAGAGAGTATATATATATATATTTAGAGAGAGAGAGAGAGAGAGAAATGAAGGAAGGGAGGAAGGGGGAAAGGAAGGGAGGAAGGGGGAAAGGAAGGGAGTCCTTTCTACATCACACCTGTCTTATCCCTTCCCTAACATCCACCCTCTGCTTACAGACCAAGCTGCCATATTGTCACTGGAACCCGCTTGTTTTCAATTTTTCTTCCTTATTTTTCACTGATTTTCCTGATGTTTACTCATTTAGGCCTATTTTTAACATGTTAGGCTCCACAAATTTCAGTTGCACTTTCTTGGTGCACCACAACCCCCAAATTCAAATTCTTGGGAGTCTCAACTCATCTCGAAGTCCTCTCTTCACTATGATTTTTTTTTCACTTGTCCCCAGGATGTCTGGCTGATGATGTTTTCATCCTTCTAGTGATTAAGGTTGTAGAAAAGTTTCTCAGTAGGCCGAGACGGCATCTGACTGATAAAGGATAATTAGGATGTTTCTTTTCTATGTTCTATTTGCCCGTTACTGAAGCTGATACCATATTGACCTTTAGAGCAGTCATTTCATACCCTAGGTGCCTATTAAAAGCCCTCTGTCCATTACAATCACTTGAATTGCCTTCCTTGCATGAAATGTTGCCAAAGTAGGTATTTCCCAGCATGCTTCTGTGCAAGCATGTTTACTGCCGACCCTCCTTCAATGGCTGGTGGGGGACCGGTCACAAAGCTGGCTTTATTAAACTATGAAATGTCAGCCCTGTACTGAAGCGCTGCGGAACATCTCCTATCCTGGTAAACATGTCTCCTCCTCTACAGAGAGGCTATTTATAACCAGTCTCCTCACAGGACCTGAGGTGACAGCGATTTACCTTCCTAGAAACTAATTTTTGCCTATGACCTCTCTTTTTTACAAGTCAAGTTCCCGCTTCCGTCAATTGCAACTGAACATCCATTTAGCTAATTTTCTTCCCTCGCACCCATTGGGTCCTTGACTTAAAGACAAATGAACAAAACAACCTGGCCAGGTCAAGAAACCCAACCCCCCTCTCCACCAACCAGAGCACGCCCTCTTCCCCTGCATTGCCCACAAGCTGAAGACCAAAGAGGGAGTCTCCACTCCGGAGGGCTCAGCCTGCTCCAGGCCAGCGCGCAGGCTCAACCCGGCTCCTCCAGTGGGATGGCCAAGGGCCATTCTAAAAATTACTGCCGCTAGGGTTTGTCAGGCGGCTGCTGGTGACTCCTCACTGGGTCTTCCTTCTCCCGCCCTCCCTTTCTCTCCACAGATCACCTCCCCAAAGGAGTCTCCCGTTAAACCTTCTTCACTACCAGCCGGGCTCTCACTTCATACCGGGCGAGAGAAGCTGGGACCCGCACTGCCAGCTCGTGCCTTCCGGATCCCAGGGTGTGTATGGCTGTGTGGGTGGGAGACGGTGGGGGTGTCTTAAGTGTTGGCGGCAATAGAGCTACTTTCCTGCGGGGCATCTCCAGCTGGGTGCTACAGGTCATGTCCCCTGATCTGAAGTTCAGAGGCAGAAAACTTTGTCCTGGAATTTGAGAAATGTTGTAACCGAGGAAACGGACTCAGTAACTGATATGTAGAAGTGATACCCTGTAAAAGTAAAATTACATGTGTTTTGTCATAATAGTGTTGTCTCTAAATCGTCTACCTTTTTATTCCACTGTTTTAGAGAGAAAATTCCTAGGGTTTGCTCAGGAGGTTTAGAGTTCCATCTCTAATGTCATTAGCAACCACTTTAACACGTGGTTCAGTTAACACAACCGTTCAGGGAAGATACAATTTTATCAGTTTTAACTGCATTAGTAGTGCAAAACTCAAATGTCCTCTTTGATTCCCCAAAATATAACTTCTCGATAAAACTGAACTCACCCCCACCCCCTGCAAATACCCTACATTTGTTATTTGACCTAAAATAAACCTAGAGTTTTGTTCTAAATGTACATTTATGGTTATCACGGCTCACGTTTCACATTGAAAACTCATTTCGGTGATGAAATGGCGAAGTGGAATCCCCGTTCTGATGGACTTCTCTAAAAATGGACAGCGAGGGCCAAGCTTGTTTCTATTCCGGGAGGCAGAGCTGACGAGACCCAACAGATGCAGCCACTGGAATGCGACAGAGACAGGGGGCAGGCACAGCTGACTCTCACCATTAGCCAGGAGTCCTGTGGGATCCCACTCCGGGGCACGAAAGCGGCAGCGACGCTTCGGCACACGGGCACGCCCAGGGTCTCACACTCGAAGTGACCCCTCTCCTGGAGGCTTTCTCCAGAGGCAGGCTTGAGAACAGGAATGATTTTTCTTTCAAGTCAACGCTTTTGCATGGACTGGCCCAATGACAGGTGAGGGTATGGTTATGTTTCTATTGCTTGGCAACATCAACCCAGCTGTTCTAGACATATTTTGGATTACAGACTTTTTCAGGAACTTTATGGGGGAAAAAAAAAAGAACAAAACCCAAAACTCTGAGCCATTTTACAGAAAAGTAACATGAAGACATCTGTACTGTGGATTTCAGAACAGTCCTCAGGGCTCATGGACCCATCTGGAACCAAACCTGGAGTGCAGCTGCCAGACAGAATACAGGTTACCCTATTAAATGTGAACTTCCTTATAAACTACAAATTCAAACAACTTTTAGTATGTGTGTCTGTAGTACTGCCTGTGATACACACACACACACACACATACACACACATATTACACACACACACACACACACACACACACGTGTGTGTGTGTGTGTGTGTATGTGTGTGTGTATATATATGTATGTGTGTGTGTGTGTGTATATATATATATATATATATATATATTCTTGTTTTATCTGCAATCCTAACTGCACAATTTTGCTTTATTTGTTGACTCTGACAGCTCAGAACTAGTTGAGTAGATCCTATCTATATAAAGAATCTTGTCTCCATTGGCTCATCTGTCTCTGAGAAAGAGTTAATTCTGGGCATTGAAATGCTGTTTGAGTAGAAGTGGCTCCAGTCCTGGCAGAAAATGCCAGCTGTGCAATAACCATGAGGCTTTTGAACTAAGGGGACGGAGCTCCGGTCTGACAAGAGGTTAAATGAAAATCGTCAAGGCTGCGTGCCTCATTCCAGCCTCGCAAACGGTTCCAGCAAGTTGATACGAAACTCGGTTCCAGTTCTGCAATAAGCAAAGGAATGTGAGTGTTCAAGACTCGGCTTGGGAGAAAGAACTAGAAACTCACATCCTAATTCCCTTATGAACATAAAAGACAAAGAAAGAGAAGAAAGGCCTTTTTATTAATATTTGCCAGGCTTGAATGTACATGTCTTTGATCCCAGCACTCGGAAGGAGTGGATCTCTGTGAGTTTGAGGCCAGCCTGATCTCTTGTCTCAAAAATATTTCTTTTTCAGCAAAACCAATACCAGTATTTTTGGACCCTGTGTCTTGAAGGCAGAAAATAGGATTATAGTTAACTTTGTGTTTAGAGTCTCAATGCCCTATAAATAAATCCAAGCACAGCTGTTTTCTAAGTTAAACATATAACCTTGACATCATATTTTTAAGAAAAAAAGTGGGAACTTCATGTTCAATCTGACCCTTACAAAGAATCACCAAATCCACAGAAGCTCATCTGAACTTACATTTTTGGTTGGTCCAACCTGTTGGAGTTTTGTGATCTTACCATAACCTTTAGCAGGAAAAAGAAACCCACAGAATTTATGTGTCTTCAAAAACTTCACTTTGTACTCAAAAACGTTTTTACTTTGATAATTGGGGCTGTGAAGAACTATTTCACAGTCTCCATGTGTACAATTTGATTTTATAAGCCATGGGTCTTCCTCGCTCAATCTCATTTTTTTTCATGTTGGAAAACGTTAGCTTTTCATCTTCTACAGGCTTTAACGGACCTTGGATTAAAGGGAAGCAAAATAGAGAAGAAGAGTATGGTGTGGGTTTGAGTCTTTGCTCCAACATACATTGCATATGACTCGTGTTACTATGGACAGTGTTTTAGCTCTCTGAATTTTGAATTCTCCATTTGTAAAATGAACACAGGACAAGATTTTTATTTTAAGATTTCTGCAGCATTTAAATTTAGAAAATTAAATCATAGGAAGTAGATAACCAGGACTCTAGCATACAGGAAGCCCTGCGTACTGAGTAAATCCTAGGTATATAACACCACTTAGGGAGAGATGGAGGTATCTATTTCCACTTAATGTGTATAGATGCACACTTGGTGATTTATATTTTGTAATTAACAATGTGCTTAAATTTGATAAGTACAAAAGATGATGGAAAATGTGATGATTTGCATAAGACTGCCTAGCTGCTAATCAGGTATAGAATACACCATCGTTGTGGAAACTGCTTAGGAGACGAGAGCCATGGTGGGCAGTGAGAAAAGGCTGGAGAATAGTGCCTGTTACCATTCTCCCCAGTTCCAGTGAGAGATTTTCTTAGAGGGATGGAGCAAGGAGAAGAGTCAGCGGCACCCACTGTCAGGATTATTATCAATTGTCACTATATCTGGGTTCCCTCCAAGGGATGAAGGTAGAGCTTTGGTAGGCTCCAGTAGGCCGGGGAGTCTCCTTTAACCCCCTACATCCAGTCCGGCCTCTCCTTTGACCCGAGAAGGAAGAGGCAGAAAGGACTGGCAGTGCCTTCAAATGTGCTCATCCTGTTTCACAAGCTCAGCTGCTGTGGATGACCCGCTCTTTCCAGCATGCCCTACTACGGTAGGAACCTTGTGAAAAGTGCAAGCCATGAATAGTTCCACGATCGATCTGGAAAATTCTTCTTCTCTTTGAGCATAAAGGTGTCAACTCATCAGAGCCCCCATGGGTGAGAACAACCCAAGCATGTGATTCAGGAAAACAGGGAAAGAGTCTTGAATATCCTCTCCAGGGAAACTTGGTAAGATCACAGAGCTCTCTCTTTAGCACTCTGTGGTCTGAACAGAGCCTCAGTGAATGGGAAACATGGTGATTACCTGGCCTCCAAGTCTAGGCCCTCAGAGTGGTTGGCCACAAAGCATGAGCTTGGCTGATCGGGGGGAAGCTGTAAAGACCTGTTAAACCCTCAGCAATCTTTCAGCTCATGTATAAGCTGAATCAAAAAGAATAGAATTCTTTCAGAATTGATTCCTCAGTGTGCAGGAATATTCTAGATTATTGAAGGCAAATGAGTAAATTAAAATGAGCTAAGTTGTTCGACTTTCCATATATATATATATATATATATATATATATACATATATATTCCTATGTTGCCTATTTATAACTGCTTCTTTTAAAAAAATTTATCAGTTCTTTGGAAATTTCATACCATGCATTTTGATCACATTCATAGCCCCTTCCCCGCCAGCCAACTCCTCCCAGATCCATTCTTCCTCTCCTACGCACCTAACATTTTTAAAATAACAATTTAAGAATTGTGTCTGACTTAAACAAACTTTATTCAAGTATAAATCAACATTTTAAAAGGGTTAAATTTCCAGACAAGATAATAACAATAGCATGACCATAAAAGAGTTTAACAGGTTTTAAATGTCTAAAATAACAATAGCATTTGATTCCTTGATTTATATGTTTTTGATCTTATTCATTTCACGATGTCCTTATTCTGGACTTCATAGTTTTCTGTTTAAAGGTTTGAATTATGAGTGTCATGTTGAAGAAGTCGGAGTTTATCCCTTAAATAGCCTGCTGGTAAATAATATCTATATTAATAGTTATACATGTTATGCATGTACAACATTCACTTGGAAAATAGTCTTTAATGGAACTAGTAATGTTTCAAGTACTTTTTACACCTTTGAGCACATAAGAAATACACAAGGCACTATTTATTCAGTATATAACATAGCATAATTAGCCATAGTATGTATACGGCATGTTGTCTTTATCTCAAAGACAATAATTTTGAATTATACCTAGGTTTTATTGGCGATATTACCAATTTCAAGACAAATGCTTTGAGAAAGTTTCAATTTCATTTTAGCAAGCAGTTCTCAAGATAGTAACTCTTAGGTCATAATACAAATCAGTAAACACATAGAGTCTAGATGGCTTTATGAAACTCAAGAAACTAATATCCCTGGTGCTCAGTGTGATCCAGAAGCGATTAAGCTGTGTTGTCCTTAGAGGTGCCAGCTGGCTCTTGAGTCATCACATTCTTGCCTTTTCTTTTCCTTCTTTTTTAATCCTTCTTTTTTGAAAATTTCATCATGAAATTCTTATCACATCTACCTCACTCCCACATTTCCCTCTCCTCCCTGAAACTCCCTCTGTGCCCCCATCCTGAATTCATCATGATCTCTTCTTTAATCATTATATATGTGTGTATATATGTATACATTATATATATATATATATGCATATACAACCTACTGAGTCTGTTTAACAGTGATCATGTGTACATGTGTCCAGAGATGACTGCTTGGGATTAGACAACCTACATGGGAAGTTTGTCCCTGAAGGCAATCCTCAGTAGCTTTTGACTACCTGTTGCTCTTCATCTAGGGGCTGGACCATGTGGGATTTCCATTGCCTGCATTGGCATGTCAACTAGTAGTGTCATTATACTAGTCTTGCTCAGGGAGCCATGTTGAGAGTTCATGGATGCTTTTTCTCCATCTTGTCTAGGGGACATCGTCTATTAATAGGCATCCTGGGCCTCTGTTTGTTACAACCTTTCTGCCCCCTCTTCCAAGATTTTCCAAGAGCCTTAGGCATAGGAGTCATGTTGCAGACATATTGGTCAGAGTTGGGCAGGCCACACTCACTTATTCTCTGCATTTTGGCAATTGTGAATCTCTATAATAGCTTCCAGCTTCTGGAAAAAGAAGCTTCTTTGATGAGGGGTGAGAATTACGCTTATCTGTGAGTATTAGGATGGGCGTTCAGAAAATAGAAATACATTGGTTTAGAAACTTGGGAGTAGTAGGGTCTCCTCTTGTGTATGACCTCTCATGCAAAGGGTAGTTGACTAGGTATATAGTACCAGGCATGAATTCCCTCCTATTGAGTGGGTCATAAGTCCACTTAGATAGCTGTTGGTCACTCCCACGATAAAAGCGCCACTATTTCACCATTTGGAGTATCTTGCTGGTCTAAGTCATTGTTGGTGGCCCAAAGGCTTTATAGCTGGGTAGGGCTATTGAATCTTGGCAACTTGTGTAGCACTTTCTGGTACTATGAAAGCCAGTCTTCAAGATGAGGCTTACAGGTCAGTTCTAGGTCCATCCTTCCAGGTCTTGTGTCCAAAGTGCATGGAGTCTTCAACAATAGACCTTTACCTTCAAATTCTGGAAGACATCCAAGAGCAACAGCAATAGCTTATATTGTTTGGGATTCTATT